CCCCTCCCCCTGGTGTGCTGGCCTTGCTGAGCCAGCCGGCCTGGCCTCCCCTCTCCCAGGTGGGCAGGTTGCCTCAGGAGGCCAGATGAGAGGGCGGGGCCGGCCAGCAGGTGGGCGACGATGCTGAACTTCTGCACTGCCCCCAACTGCACGAGGAAGAGCACGAGGAAGAGCACGCAGTGGGACCTGGCCTTCTTCAGGTTCCCGTGGGATACCGCCAGATGCCAGAAAGTGGGTGGAGAGTTGTAGGAGAGCAGACTTAGAAGATAAAACACCTGATCCACTAAATTAACATTTTCAAATATGTACAAACACTTTGAGACCTCTGTGATCTGTAGAACTAGACATTTTGCAGAGGCATCAGAAAACTCAAGAACGATTGGGTTATTTTGTTTCTCAAAATTAATTGAAGCAGATACTTGTGAAGCCATTGGGAAAGTCCTTACAGGACAATTCTTTGAGATCATGCAGTATCCACAATATTTGACCTTACCAGTCATTTGAACAATCCACATAGTAGACACAGAAAACAAATGAAAGAATTGAGTGAAGATGAAATCAGGACACTGAAACAGAAACACAATTGATGAAACTTCTGAACAGGAACAAAAACATAAATAAACAACAGCAATGCTCGGAACCCCAGTGCAGAAGAAGGGGGTAAAGAACAGGATGAAGACATTTTACCTTTAACCTTTGAAGAGAAAAAAAACAAAGAATACTTAAAATCTTGATTTGAAATTTTGATTCTTATGGGAAAACAAGACATACTTCTGCACAGGCATGAAACTGATGAACCCCCCAGGGGGTCTCTTTACTCCTGGTAAATTTCAAGCGCTGCTGGCATGTGGGATAAATTCTGGCGAAGAGGTTCTGAGAAAGCGCTTTGAGACAGTGGCAGTAACATTGTTCTGCTTGAAAGCTCAGCAGAAGCAGATGCTGGAGATGTGTGAGAGCTACATTTGGGAGGAAACCCTCAGGGAAGTGAGAGACTCCACTTCTTTTCCATTATCACTGACAACGCAGTGGTCATAGCAGGGGAAGAACATTTGCCTGTGTTGGTGAGCTTTGTTGATGAGTCTCATAACCCAAGAGAGGAATTTGTGGGCTTCTTGTCTTATGAAGCTGATGTAGAAATTTTGGCTGTGAAATTTCACACCACGATAACTGAGAAGTGGGGATTGAACATGAAGTATTGTCATGGCCAGGCTTACATTGTGTCCAGTGGATTTTCTTCCAAAATGAAAGTTGTTGCTTCTGGACTTTTAGAGAAATATCCCCAAGCTCTTCCTGCGTCTTAAATATGTGGTTCTTCAAGGCAAAACCCGTGCCTCTTGTGGGAGGATCTGTTGCATTAGGAGCAATTGAGGAAGTCTGTTCTTTCTCTCATTGAGCTCCACAACTGTTCTTAGAGCTTGACAATGTCATTTCTGCCCTCTTTCAGAACAATGAGGAGCAGGGTAAAGAACTGAAGGAAATTTGCCATTCTTAGTGGATAGGCATGCTGCTTTTGAAATTTGAATGGATCTCCTACAAGCACTTGTTTTATGTTTCGATGTCATAAATAGTGATACAAACATTAGGTGGAATAACTGTATAGCTGGTCAAGCATTTGTACTCTGTCCAGTGTTGATTTCATTGTTACCATTGTTGTTCCTAAAAATGTTCTATCTTTTAGGAGAGCCTTTGGGAAAAATCTCCCGGGCAAACCTCTGATGTCTTCAACTGGTAGCTTGACTGCAGTGCTGCATTAGCTAAATGAAGTGATGAAAAATAATGAAGTTTATCATGAATTTACGTTTGCAGAAGCCACAAATTTGGCAACTAAACTTAATATTCAGATGCAACTGCCTGGGAAGTTCTGCAGAACCCAGGTAACCTGGAATCTTAGTTAACCTCTGAGAGTTACTATAAATAAACTCTCAGTGTCCCAACAGTGGAACACATTATTCAGGAACTGAAAGATATATATGCTCAGAACAGCACCTCAGAGCTCTTAAGTGCTTATCTCTGGTACCCTCTGTTATGGGACAGCTCAAGTTTAATTCATCCAAGGAGCACCATGCTGACATGTACAGGAGGGACTTACCCAACCCAACATGCTCTCGGCTGAGCTGTATTGTTGGAGGGTCAAGTGGAAACACAGAAGGAAAGAGATGGAGCTTCCACCCACCATGTTTGGAGCCCAGCATCTGCCAGACATCAAGTTCTTTCCTAATGTTTATGCATTGCTGAGAGTCCTTTGTATTCTGCCTGGGATGAAGGTGGAGAATGAACACTATGAAAATGGTTGAAAGCGTCTTAAAGCATAACCGAGGGACACTTTGACAGACCAAAGGTCAAGTAATTTGGCTTTGCTTAACATAAAGTTTGATATAAAACATGGTCTGAGGGGTGCCTGGTTGGCTCAGTCGGTTAAGTGTCCGACTTCAGCTCAGGTCATGATCTCATGGTTCATGGGTTTGAGCCCCGCTTCAGGCTCTGTGCTGACAGCTAGCTCAGAGCCTGGAGCCTGTTTCGGATTCTGTGTCTCCCTCTGACCCTCCCCTGCTCATGCTGTCTCTCTCTCTCTCTCTCTCGGAAATTAAAAAAAAAACATTAAAAAAAACCCCCATGACCTGGATTTAATGGTGGACACTTATATCAAACTCTATACAACTAAGTCAGGGTCCCTACAGATAACTCAGAAACCATTGAAATTACCTAAGAGACTTTTAAAGTAGGCTTTCTCTTATGTTTGATATTTGGAAAAATATCTGTAAGAAATTTGAAAACATCTTACGGAAAAGCTGTCAGGTATATGTAGGCCACTTAATCACTGAATATCTTGACTTGTACATGGAGTACGTTAGCCATTGATAATCTGCCTATTTAAGTGGCCCCTGTTTGAACTCTTATGCTTTGGAGACATAACTGTTCTTCCAGAAAATAGCATTGAAAGTGCCACATTGCACTTCTATGTGATCTCTGCTAATGGTGCTTTGGAATTGTTTTAGTTAAGTCATTTTAGACATAACATTTATTATCACTGGATCCAATTGTTGGGTATTGAGTTATCAGTTCTTATAAGAAATAGATTTTGAAGAGGTGTGGGAGAATGGAATACATTTTATAAAATGTTACAATGAAGCTCACGAGTAACCTGGAGTGTGACGTATGTTAAAAATCTGTAATGGTCAGTTAAGGGAGTTAGCAGACAGCTAGAGAGAGAGATAGAGATAGAGAATGGAAAGCATGTGAACTTGCCAAGCAGGGATTTCAGTGTAGATTTTGTCTTTATCAAATGAACTTAAAGGAACAAGTTATAGTTACAATTTGGGCGAGCCTGCCATTGTTGGTGCACATTGGGTTGTTGCTGTTTGCAGTTCTCTGTTGAGTCTACATCTTCATAAGCTTTTTAGCAGGTGTTTGTTGAACCCCTCTGTTTCATGGTCAAGACAGGATCAGAGGCTGTGGATACTGACAACTGATTTGTCTGTTTTCCTCTGCCTTTTTCCATGAGTATATCTACTGCTTTGTCTTGATTTATAAACCTACAAAAATAAGTGTTTGTGGTTTATCTAGGAATAATATAGAAGATATCACTGATAGTTTTGGTGAAGAAAATCAATTTTGTATAGTTTATTTCAACCTAAATAAAATATGAATTTTGTTTAAAAAATAAAAGTATAGTTTATTCACACAACAATTGGCATAATCTAATAACACAAAATCAATAGAGAGGGCACTTGATTCTTACGTTAAGAAAGTAAGCAAGAAATTAATTTAGCAAATACATAATGCATAAATGTGCCTTATTGGTTTAGTACCAATTATCTTCAATGCCAGTTATCTTTAATTCATAAAAGTATCCAAGCTTAATTATCCTCCTCTTATATCATATTAACATCAGCATTTATAGCAAATTTTTATATGCCAACATATGTAGGTCATTTGAAATATTGATGTCTACATAAAGCAAGACCATAAATTGAAAATATTTAGAATAATATGGCACCACTGCAGGCAAGTGTGAGGCTTAATTCTGGAAAAGCAGGCCCCAAACTTAACAGATTACTTACAGTGCTCAAGCAATCTGTGGCCAAAGTGGGGGTGACCCAGGGTATTTGTCCTTTCTCTGCCCAACTTTGCTCTCTGGTGAAGAGCCAGGGAATCAGAAAATACTTACAGACCTTAGGATGATGAGAATTAGGAAAAAATGTGGGAGGTTTGAATATGCCATTAACTAGATACTGGTATCTAAGTATTTGAACCACCCCTATATATCTATTTTCTCAAGGTCAGCTCACATATTACTTAGGAATGCCTGGCATCGGTACAGTAAATAGAGCATCTAGCTCCCTGATGTTCAAGTGCTGAAACAACAGTTGCTCTTAGGCCAGCACATTCTCATCGTGCACAAAAGCAAACCCAAGTCTTTAAGGGATTATTAGAGGAAGGATATTATTTTCTCAGTGACTCAAAGCCAGCTGTGAGGGCCTTTAGTGCAGTTTATGCGTCTTCTGCGTCCCTCTCTTCCACCTTTGGCATGTCTACAATTGGATGAAGTGCTTTTCCTGAAATGGCAATCACTATTAAACCCATTAGCTGGAAACCAAAATGTTTCCCTAATTGTTTAAAGTCTCATTGCGAAAAGGAAGTTTCTATTGATTGCAGTATGAGGGGAAATAATTCCAAGTTCATCATTTTTTTCCCTTTATATAAACATAGTCAGATGAGACTGACATGCTCAAAGTCATCAGATTTACTTCTCCAAAAATTCTCATTCACCCCTAGAAGTTTCTAGTCTGGGTTTCTTTGTGCCCATTCTTTATTTTGTTTTTTCGACCACTTTCTCTCAATTTGTTTCTAGGGCTTGTCTTGTGTGCTGTTTGTCTTTTACTTGTCTTCAATTTTGTAATTAATTTACAATTATTTTTAACGGCAGTTCTTTTAAAAAATTAGTTGGCAGGACCGTACTCCTGGAATATGGTTCTTCTCCTCTTTTCTCCAACAGACATTTCAGTGACTCTCAAGCACTCACTTTGAGCCATTGCCCAATATTTGGAATCCTGATGATGCCTTTCTCTGCCGTGTCCCTTAGGTATGTATCTCCAGTTCATATAACAGTGCCTGACATTTAGTGGGTGACGTTTAATTCATCCTTAACGAACGCAGAACTTCAGGTATTATTTATTTATTAGTTTTTTAATCTTACCAAAAACTCACTTTGACCAAGTGGGTTTGGTTGATATATTCGACCCAAATTAAAAGCAAAAAGCAAACAAAACAGTCAGAATGAGGACTTCTACTGTGGTTACCCAGCATCTTATTTGGTTTAGATTCTCAGCCTCTTTGACAAAGCTTTGCTTCTCTCCTCACCAAACCAGACATGTTGGACAATTTCTGAGCAAAAAGAAAAAATGGTTTTTACTTAAAAGTGCTTGCCATCTGATTAACCTAAATCCCAGCAAATATGACATTACCAACCAACATGCTTTATAACTTTGATATTTGTAAATGGGAGCTATAGATAAATTTTACTAAACCTTTGTTTTATAGATTATGGCTGTATTATTCACATTGAAGGACATTTCATCTCGCTTATAGAAAACTTAAAAGATTGCTCACCCAGAACGTTTCCATAGGGGTGCTGAAAATTATGGAATAGCTGAAGACTGGATTTAATCAGACTGTAATTGTATACTTAGCAAGCTAGTAGTTAATTTCTCCTGAGGTCATTAATTATATAGCTTATCACATTGAAAGAAATTGCTGTATTTGATAATATAAAATTGAATTTCATTTGAAGATCACCATCAAGTGCAGACTGTCAAGTATGTACTCCTTTTCCATGGTGTTGACATTCAGGTATCTTCAGTTTTCTTAGTGAATGAAATTATATGGTAGAGTGGCTGCCAGAATACTTGAAAGGAGAATAAACAGAGATAGGATTGACTGATTCCAATTTGGTAGTAGTTTTGCAGGAATGAGGATAGGAATGTGACAACATTCTAATAGCAAAACTCCAAAGGGTTTTCAGTGTAATCTGTGTTTTAAGTAGCGTTTAGTTGTTGAACTAAGATACCATGTGCTCCTGTAATTGTCTTCGAGCTCTGTGTGCTGGGTAATCCTTTAGCATGATCAATCCCGAGGGGTGAAGAGGGATGAATTAGCTATCTTTTTAGCCATTTCCCAGAAACAATCCCTAGAAGCTAGAGGAAAATTTTTCCAAAGGATTTATGAAAGGTATTTTGGTCCAACTGAGTGTCTATAGTTCCAAAGTTGGTACCTTAAGTGACACTAGTGTTCTATTTCCTTGGTGTTAGCTAAGAGAATTGCTGTACAGAGTTTTTAGACTTGGGACATTGGGGGCAAACAGAACAAAATGGAGAGCCACTCCCTTTGCTTTATTAGATCCAAGTTATCTGAGGCTGTAGAAACTTATCTTTTTGTTAAATTTAATTATGCTCTGTCTTTGTTTGTACTGCCTACCCATTGTGTGCCAATTTCCTTGAGGTCAAAGACTATCTGTCTCAATCCATATAACCCATAGCAGAAAACCAGTAGGCTTACCAGGTTCTTATCTGATATTTTACTGGATAGGCTTCGGATAGGCTGTAATTTTAGCTTTCAGTCTGGTAAAATCAAAAGAAAAAAACTAGATAGCAGTGGATTTTAAAGGTGGATTTTAAAATATTGTCATTTTTTTCTCCTCAGCGCTCCTAGGACAGAGACAGGATTTTGTTTTGGGGTTGAGCATTTCTGTGTCCTGGGAAGGATTCTTTTTTGGGCACTCTGAGTCATGCAGGTGTGAATCAAGTCAAATTAAGTAGCTTGTATTGCGTACTTATTATGTGCTGCACTGTTCTAAATGGTAGTAACTCATTTAAGCCTCATAACAACCCTGTGGTATGGGTACTAAATACTAACTTCATTCTGTGAATGAGGAACCTGAGGCACAAGTCATACAGTGTAGGGGGTAGACCTGGGATTCGAGACCCGGAAGTCTGGCTGCAGAGCATATATTTATAGACTATTACAACTACTTCCTTATATGTCTTGGAATGGCTCCCAATAGTGCCAAAGGAATCCGAAAGCAATTATTTCAGATGAGGATTTTGAATGTTGTTTTTAATAACAGAAACAGCTATCTTATGGAAGAAGCTATATCTCTTCAGAAACTCTATGTATATAATGTATGTGTGCGTGTATGTATGTATGTATGTATGTAATCTATTTACCATGGTGGTCAGAATTTTGGCCACCCAAAGATGTTTATATCCTAATCTCGGAGCCTGTGGATATGTTAGGTTATGTGGCAAGGGTGAATTAAGGTTGCAGATGGAATCAAGATTTCTAATGAGCTAACCTTAGAATTGGGAGATTATCCTGAGTTATTTGGGTGGACCCAGTGTAAAAGTTGAATTGGGAGTCAGGAGTGCTTTAGAATCATTAAGTATAAGAAAGATTTGACCAGCTATTCGAGTCTTTACAGATGGAAGGAGCCACAAGCCTAGAATTGTGGCTACCTTCTAGAAGCTGTAAAACACAAAGAAATAGATTCTTCTTCTATAACCTCAAGAAAGAATTGCAACCCTGCTACATTTTGATTTTAGTCCTGTGAGACCCATGTCAGACTTCTGACCTCCAGGACTATAAGAAAATAAATTTGTGTTGTTTTAAGACATGAAGTTTGTGGTAATTTTTTATATTGGCAGCAGGAAAGTAATATACTTAACTTATTTACCATAAGCGAGGAGCTGGTAAGTTTTTCGGTGGGCTAGGAGATAGGACTTGGGGGGTTTTGTTACTGATAGGAGATTAAAAAAATCGAAGAATCTTTAAGTCAAATAAGAGCCGACCTCAGAATTTTTTTATTCAAAATTTAATTATAAATTTACTACGATTAGGCCAATATTGTGCAATGTTTATGATTTTTCTGAATTCTCAGCACATGAACATCGTTCAAGATTGAAAAAGTGCAGGGGTGCCTGGGTGGCTCAGTCGGTTAAGCGTCCGGCTTCAGCTCAGGTCATGATCTCGCGGTTCGTAGATTTGAGCCCCACTTTGGGCTCTGTGCTGACGGCTAGTTCAGAGCCTGGAGCCCATTTCAGATTCTGTATCTCCCTCTCTCTGATCCTCCCCTGCTCACACTCTCTCTCTCTCTCTCTCTCTCTCTCAGAAATAAATAAAACATTAAAAAATTTAAAAAAAGATTGAAAAAGTATAGAAGAACATACAATGATAAGCATGTATTTGCTTTTCAGTATTTGCTTCTTCAGGCTCCAAAGACAGAAATAGGATTTTACCTTGTTTTTGTCTGATCACCTAGGATTTTACCTTATTGCTAAGCTACTTACTCTCTCCTAGAGGCACCACTAACACCAGTTCCTTCCAGAAGTCTTTCCTGTCTCTATGAGCGTATACTTATGTATCGTCTTTTTCTCTTATAGAACAGTAACATGCTAGGCATACTGTACCTTTGCATTGATTTCTATCTTAAATTCAGAAAAAAAAATTTATGGTAATTAAAAATAAGCAAAACAGAATGTTAATGGAGCTGGCAGGAAGGGAACTCTGCATAATTTTCTACATTTCTGTATTCTGTGAATCAAAATATATCCGGGGGAAGCAGTAGTGAAGGATATATTATGGCTCATGTAAAATAGGTACTCAGAATGTTATTTGATGAACGAAGGAATATGTATATATATATATATATATGAGATGGCTGGATGGCCAAGCTAAGATCTCATTCCCCTGTGAGCTTCTTGCAGAAATTCCTGGGGAAGAGAACGTGAATACCCAGGATATAAGTTCTGACTGAAACATGACTCTTCGATCTTAGGGTTTAGATCTTTGATGCCTGAATGGTAATGGTATAAGGTGAGGGCAAAAACAACCTCTACATTCAAAGCTGCAAGTGTGTGTGCATGAGCTGGAAAGGTGAACACACCTTCAACAGAAAGAGTGCTTTAGTTAGAAAAACCACACGTACTGGGGTAGTTGGTCTTATAATTACAGAGCTTTGCTCATAATTAGAAAAGTATATGTTTGCCAGCTTTGGTGCTCAGTAGCTAAACTGCTCTATGTCACATTGTTGGAAGGTGTTTATGTTCTAGTCAGAGCAGTATCTCTGAAGACACTGTGCCCTTTAGGTAATTTCTAAATTTACTGATACGGAAATAGTTACTTACTCCTGTGAAAATATTTTGTGTGGACTCATTTTTTCCAAGTGAAGTTAGTAGCTGAGCTTGAGAAAGGTTGGAGATGGGGAGGTGATTCCCTGCCCAGTGTCTTGGATCGGCTTAGATGAATGGTGGATTTTGTAGGGCTCTGGATATAGCAGTATAGCTTCCAGCTCCAGCCTAAGACTGGGTGGAGGGCTTTTCATCTCACCTTTGGCACAGAGCCCAAGAGCTTTCTGGAATCAAAGGACTGCAGACAGCATCTTTGGAATGGACATTCGTGTTCTCACGATGGGCGTCATCTGCAGTGGGAGCTAGGGATTCCTTCAAGAAGCTTTGTAAGCATAGTTATGGAGACACACTCACACACGTCATCATACGTATGTGTAGGATTCTTTATAATTTATATAAACCTAAGTGTACTAGACATAATGTTTTGCTTACTTGCACGTTGTTTTATATCTTACTCTTTTTAAAGTTTGTTTATTTCTGAGAGAGTGAGACAGGGTGCCAGTGGGGGAGGGGCAGAGCAGAGGGAGATACAGAATCTGAAGCAGGTTCTTGAACTCATGAGCTGCGAGATCATAATCTGAGCCAAAGTCAGATACTTACCTGACTGAGCCACCCAGGTGCCCTTGTTTTATATCTTAAAAGAAGAAATTGTCAGGGTCCCTAGGTGACTCAGTCAGCTAAGCATCCGACTCTTGATTTCAGCTCAGGTCATGATCTCACATATTGTGGGATCAAGCCACACGTCAGGCTCTTCACTGTCAGCGCAGAGCCCACTTGGGATTCTCACTCCTCTCTCTTTGCCCCTCCCCTGCTCACTCTCTTTCTCTCTCTCAAAATAAATAAACTTAAAAAAAGAAAGAATTGTCAGCCAAAAAGAAAAAAAGGATTTGAGAGTTGATAATGATTAAAAATGTCAGTATCTAAAATTTATTAAATAATTACCATGTGCCAGGTACTGTGTGCCTTATGTGTATTTGCTCATTAATCTCTCTCCTTGCTTAGCAGGGTTTCATAGATACCTCACAGAGTAAGGAGTTTCCTGGCTATTGATGCTGTTAAGCAGATGTTGGCGACCATCTCCTCCAAATGAAATAGAGACGATTCCTCCTTTTGGGGGTAAGTCAGAAGAGGTAATTGCCAGACCCTTTCTAAGAGTCAGTGTTCAGGATTCCACCAGTTAATGACTGAATGCAGTGTTGGGTGATTTGGAGTGTTCACTAATGTTTGTCAAGGACCAATGAAGACTTGAGTTTCTCGCTTGCTTCTGGGTAATGATTGGTGCAGCTTAGAGGTGTGAGGGCAGTCACTGCATACTGCTCTCATTGAACTGAGTCAAGTGCAGAGCGGCCTCGCTCTGTCTTCTAGACTGAGGGCATGGCCATGATTAAATCAGGTCATAGCGCAAAGGCGAGGTCCGTGGAGGAGAAGCTCTGTTTTACTTTTTCTAAGGCCTCTGAGGCTTCTTCAAGTAACAGATACGCACCCAAATTTTTCTCCTTTGCTTCAGCTTCATCTCTGAGCTACAAGGATGGCTTCAAATGGCAAGTTTAGGTCATCCAAGTACCTTGTAATACAGCTGGTATGACAGCACTAAATTGATGCTTGCTGAAAAACAGTTTTATCAGAGAAGTAGGCTATTAATTGCTTCATTAATTCATCTGTGATTTATTTGTCAGGAACCATTCTAAATGCCTGAAAAATAACTTCCTCTTTGGAGGGGTAATCAGATAAAGAAACAGCTGGGTGCTATATTTGTGCTGCAATGGAGATATGAGGCAAATGTGGTAACACGGAGGAGGAATGACTTTTAGCGACAGAGGAGTCACAGTGGCAGTTGTGCCTCAACTGGGATGTGAAAGATGAATAGGATTTCACCAGGCAAAGAAGAGAGAGAAGACAGTTCTGCTAGGGAGGTGATAGCTCTGTGGCTGGCAGCTCTGAGTGAGAGTGGCACACTGCAGGTGGGGAGGTGGTCACAGCTTTGGCGACGTAGGGGTGGGGGTGGTGGGTGTGTTCGTGCTGGAGCAGTGTGTGATGCTCAGTGTGCACGTACAGTAAGAGGTGAAGCCGTATAACTGAAATGCTGGACATTGAGAAAGAAAGAGCCTACATAAAAGCCAGGCAGAGAATTAAAAAAAAAACAAAACACACAAACCCACATCTTAAAGAAACAGACATCTTGACTCAGACTTTTCTTTTTTACTTTATAAGTTTTTATTTAAATTCTAGTAGTTCACCTACAGCGAATATTAATTTCAGGTGTACAGTTTAAGTGATTCAACACTTCCGTACAACACCCAGTGCTCATCATAACAAGCGCACTCTTTAATTGTCATCACTGGGGCGCCTGGGCAGCTTAGTCGGTTAAGCTTCCGATTCGGCTCAGGTCATGATCTCAGAGTTCGTGAGTTCAGAGCCCTGCATTGGACTCTGTGCTGACAGCTCAGAGCCTGGAGCCTGCTTCGGATTCTGTGTCGCCCTCTCTCACTGCCCTTCCCCTATGCATGCCTTCTCTCTCTCTCCCTCTTTCTCTCTCTCTCTCTCAAATAAATAAACATTAAAAAAATGAATTGTCATCACCTGTTTTACCCCCCCCCACACACACACACCTTCCCCCTGGCAACCATTTGTTCTCTATAGTTAATGGTCTGTTTCTTGGGGGGCCCCTGGGTGGCTCAGTTGGTTGCATCTGACTCTTGATTTTGGCTCAGGTCATGATCTCACGGTTGGTGCGATCAACAGTGCAGTGCGGAGCCTTCGTGGGATTCTCTCCCCCTCTCTAACTGTCCCTCCCCAGCTTGTGCTCTCTCTCTCTCTCTCAAAATAAATGAACTTTTTTTTTTTAAAGAGTCTATTTCTTGGTTTGACTCCTAATTTTAAATGATTGACAATGGTTATTGACTCTAGGCATTCCTAGAGGTAAGTAAAGATGGGCCGTAACCATTGCCCATCTTTAATTTATTTTTTTAATGTTTAAATATTTAAACATAAAATATTTTTTTAATGTTTATTTTTGAGAGATAGAGAGAGACTGTGAGCTGGGAGGGGCAGAGAGAGAGAGGGAGACACAGAATCTGAAGTAGGCTTCTGAGCTTTCAGCACAGAGCCCAGTGCAGGGTTTGAACTCACGAACCATGAGACCATGACCTGAGCCGAATTCCGATACTTAACTGACTGAGCCACCCAGGTGCCCCAAAAACTGACAGTTTTGTCTGAACAAGTTATGAGCCCAACTCGGAATGTGAACTGGACCCCCCTCACATGTGGCACAGCAAGCAGTTTTTGCAGCGATACACCAAATTTCGGTCTTCACTTACAGGCAATAAAAAGGAGATTGTTTATATATTTATTTATTTATTTTTTGTCAGCCACATCTGCACACACAAGATAGTGATCTCCATCTGTGGGTTTATCTTTAAATAGAAATGGAGCTTCCTCCTGAGGGCTCAGAGGCATGCTTTTGGTGAGCGCCACCTGCCACGTTCTGTGATATCTCACACACAGAGACTAACTCAAGCTCTGGCAATGTCTGTGAGGGGTCCAAGCATTTCATTCCCACCCAAGATGGTGAGCACCTTTGGGAGAAGGATCACATCTTAGGATTCTCTGTAGCTTGAATGCATTTATCTTACTTGTTAACTGAATGGCAGAATGAATTCCATTCACAGGCCATCCTGGAGAACCTATGAATAGTATGATCTTCGGTTTTGCCACTGACCAGACTCACCCTCCTTGTCCAGGCTGACATCGACAGGCCCTGATTTTGCTTCTGTGACCTGTTTTTTTTTTTCAAAAATTTTTTAATATTTATTTTTGAGAGAGAGAGAGCACAAGCAGAGGAGGGGCAGAGAAAAAGAGAGAGAGAGACACAGAATATGAAGCAGGCTCCATGCTCCGAGCTGTTGGCACAGAGCCCAATGCAGGGCTCGAACTCATAAACTGCGAGATCATGACCTGAGCCAAAGTCAGATGCTTAACTAACTGAGCCACCCAGGTGTCCCACCTCTGTGACCTGTTAAAAAATATTCACCTGGAGACTAATGTTCAGAGTTCCCTTTTTTCAAGCCATAGAACAGTAGTCATTTGATTAAAAAGCCAGTGGTTAATTAAAGTGCTGAAGACTTTCTTTGGGAGGGCTCACGTCCTTTGCAGACTTTTGTAGGGTCCTCCTATCTCTGCTCATTCCTGAAGAGGACCCCTCACTTCACACGTCTCTAGCAGAGCCTGCAAGCTTTGCATCACATCTAATTTTACCCATTTCTTTGTCCATTCCTTTAGGGTCTTGTTCTCTGAAGTTGGCTAATGGCTGAAGTCATCTGTGCCAAGTGCAGAGTCCGTAAGTTCAAATTGAATTTTTAATAGGGACTTGGTGGAAACAGGGTGTTGACTCAAAAGAAAGAGAGAACATTCTGGGACTTTTGACCTTTCTCATATCAAGTACCCATCTGGACCTGGATTCAGAATTCCATGACCAGAGGCAGCTCAGAGTATCTCACTGTTTCAAAGTGAGAAACAGCCAAATGATGAGCAATTCTCTGAAACCAGATAGAAATTGAGGATAGTGAAATGATCCCTTCTCCTCCCACCACTGGCTGGGAGTTTATTTAAAACAAACAAACAAACAAACAAACAAAGCAGGAGACTAATTGTGAATGAAATAAAGAGCATCAAAAGAATCTTCCTAATTAGCTTAAATACTGATTGTTACCATTAGAAATGAGTCAGCCTAAAAACACACGTAATTGCAGTCTTCCTGTGTTGTGGGAAGCCTAGAGACTAAAGAACTACATTATTAGCAGGAAAGGACAGGCCATGGTGACATCCATCATAAGGAAGCGATGGTTTTGCCATCACTGACTGTGGCATGTGACCTTTGCCTGACTGAATGGAAAGCATCTGATGCCCAGGACGCTGGTAGTCTTCCCTACACGGCCAGTACACGAGTGGCAAGTAGGTATTACCACTCTGGTTTGGCAAATGGGAAACCGAGGAACTGGAAATTATAATAACTAGAATTAAAGTGAATTATTGAAGTTTAGGGCAAAATTGTGAGAGACTTCAGTGCCCTCTTTCTCTTGCTGTGCTCTTTTCCCTCCCTCTTCCATGCTTCTTTCTTATTGCATAGTTCTCCTGTTAAAATTTCCCTTGGGTGGGGGTGGTGCCTGGGTGGCTCAGTCCGTCAAGCATCCGACTGGCTCCTCAGGTCGTGATCTTGTGGTTCATGAGTTTGAGACCCATGTTGAGCTCTGCTGACAGCTTGGAGCCTGGAGCCTGCTTTGGATTCTGTGTCTTTCTCCCTGCCCCTTGCCTGCTCATGCTCTTTCTCTCTCTCAAAAATAAATAAACATTAAATTTTTTTTTTAATTTTCCTTGAGAAAACTGTGTTTTTTATACCTCTGTGTGAATGTTAATCATCATCCTCCTTGTAGAGGGCACTTGAGTATTAACTCTTATCCCTAATAATGATACAAAAATTTGTGAATGGGCCCTTCTAAACCCTAAATTCATAAAGAAATTACAGACATCCTTAATTAGCATGAATCTGGTAGAGGAGGAAGGAAGAAGGAACAAAATCTTCCTAGTGCCCTCCCCCACCCCACCCCACCCCGGACATCCCCTTGCACACCTGCCTTGCATAAGGAGAGGTATCTAGGAACAGGTGGGGTAGCAGAGAGCAATTGAATTTCTTCTGGTGATGCAAGTGTGAATGGCTGATTTGCTAAGTTAACCAAAAGATAGCCTTTCAATGAGTATGTATTACCAGATATTACTTGAGAAATATGTGATGCCCAGATTGGGGATTATTGATTAGTAGAATCGTTGTTTTAGTTCAGTCAAAATACAATAAGCAAAAACAACTTGTATGTCATTGCTTATTCAAATATTTCTAATTATATGGCCCCTAGGTAGGTGTTCTTAATCTTATTAGTGTTGTGAACTTTTGGGCAGTCTTGTGAAGTACTTTTTTTTTGTTGTTTTTTTGAGCGGGCGAGACATATGTGTCACATACCCCTGTATGTGAGCAGGGAGAGGGGAAGGGCAGAGAAAAGGAGAGAGAGAGAGAGAGAGAGAGAGAGAGAGAGAGAGAGAGAGAGAGAGATAGAAAGAATCTTAAGCAGGCTCCATGCCTAGTGTGGAGCTGGTCGCCAATCGTGAAATATGACCTGAGCCAAAATCAAGAGTTGGATGCTTAGCTAACTGAGCCACCCAGGTGCCCTGAGCATAGCATTTTTAATACATAAAATAAAACACTTAAAATTTTGAAGAAAACCAATACTACTGGAAGACATTAATCAAAATTTTTGAAAATTCATGATTTATGCTTTATTAATGAATTTAAAAAGATCTAGTACACAGACATAATGGTTTCATAAATTCATAGTAGTGATGAATACAAATAATATTTTAAGGTATCTGCAACGACTATACTCAAATATTTAAAATATTTGAGGTTTCTTTGGAGGTGAAGGTACAAATACCTGAATACCTGTGGCTATTAGTGACTAGTGGTCCATATTTATAATGGAATGAAATACTATATTTAATTCAACATTGATGAAAGGTTTGCAATAGACTTCTTGACTCAGCAGTCTATCTATCTCTTTGAGCTGCGGGGTGGTGTTGGAGGGAGAACACAGCCTTTGAATCACAGCTCTGAGTTCAAGTCTCCCTGAAGGATTTACTTCTAGTGTGACTTGGCTATTTTAGTTAACCTTTTGGAATTTAGTTTGCTTCTATTAAAATGGGAAAATAGTGAATTCTGCATGAAGTCATTGAGCAGACTGAATGATATAATGTATATTTAACTTCTAGCACAATGCTTGTCATGAAGAGGGAGCTCAGCAAATAACAACTCTGTCTGGACACCTTTTCCCCCGCAGCTGAAGGGAAAGTGAAATAGGTAAGATATTTGTTAAGTTAAGTCTCACACTAACATCCTAGTTCTGGATAATTCTCTGTCTGAGACAGGGTACATACAATCTTTCAGTTTCAAAAGAATTTGGGAAGGAAGATACGTTGGAAAATATATTCCATTTTATGCAGCTCTAAAGCAAGCTATAAATCTCTAGCTGTCTAAAATTTCAAGTCTGTAAAATTCAAACAAGTTTTCAGGAATTAATTGTTAAAAGGTAATTAAAATTCCAGTGAAGTTAGATACCATTTTAGGATTTGGAATGTTGGCTTTTCTGTTTTATGATGATATGAAGATTTTAGTTGAGTCCTCATCTTCTCCCACGCAGAACCGAGAGCTGGCTGACATACCATGGAGCCCTGTAGAAGCCTGAAGAACAGGAGGGCAAAACCCTAGTCTCAGGAGCCTGAGCCACTCCCTCAAGCCACAGATCAGAAACAAGGCAGGTTCTGGACACAGTGTCCAATTTCAGGTGTTTTCCGGACATCCCTAAACTGAGTTAATGGAGAAGAAACTCCACAAGGTATTTCCCGAGTGAGAACTTCTTGAATTTTAGCTTCTGAAGCTGTCAAGAAGTTATTGGATTTTTGGAATTTTTTTTTGTGACATATTCCAGATATCTTAGAATCTACTAAAATGTATTTGAATTTTACAACTTAAAATCTTAACTTGGAAAAAAAATAGAGCCTATTGTGTGGTATATAAGACATAAATCTTCAATTTAATGAAACTTGTTTAAATTTCTGTTTTCAGATTTGGGAAGCTTCAATCAAGGTCATCTGAGAAGTAGGACCCAGTGTATTACCATTACTTATGGGTGTCGACATAGAGATTTATAGACATGGGAAAGACTAGACAGTAAGAATGCCTGTAAAGAGGCGCCATGTTTCACCAGGGACTAATGTCTTCAAGTTACCTTGCAAATGTTAAGAAATATGCCTACTTAATTGTATGGTGCATTTTCCATGGTCTTTGCTTTATTCATTTCATGTGCATTTTGATTAAAAATTTTGCATTTTATTATCTTTTATGTTTTGCAATAAATACAAACCTGGACTGCTTTTTTCCCCTCGTTTTTCATTCTTTTCAGAGGTATGGTGAGCATTGAATAAGATAATAATTTTGAAATGCTTGTGTCTTGTCCATCTGGGCTGCTGTAACAAGTACCACACAGTGAATAGCTTGGTTAATAGAAGTTTATCGCTCACAATTCTAGAGGATGGCAGTCCGAAATGACGGTGCCAGCATGTCAGGTGAGGGTTCGCTTTCAGGTTACAGACTTCTTACATCCTCATGTGGCACAAGGGGCTCCTGGAGCCTTTATTATTAGGCACTAATCACCTTCCAAACGCTCCACCTCCTAATACCATCACCTTTGGGGGTAAGAATTCGACATATGAATTTTGGGAGGACACACTGTGTGATACTGTGGTTTATAAGAAATATATATTTGGCCATTTAGATGACCAAAATATACAGTACTTTCCCCCTTTCTGCGTTTCACTTTCTGAAGTTTGTTACCTGAGGTCATCCTTGGTCCAGAAGCAGGTGATCCCCCTTCTGACATTATTAGAAGGTCAATGGGAGCCTAACGCTACATCACAATGCCTCACCTCACCTCATCCTGTAGTCATTTTATCATCTCCCATCATCCCAAGAAGAAGGGTGAGTACAGCCCAATAAGAAATTTTGAGAGAGAGAAACCACATTCATGCAACTTTTATCACCGTAGGTTGTTATGATTGTTCTATTTTATTATTATTGTTGCTAATCTCTGTGTGCCTATTGTATAAACTTTATCATAGGTATGTATATATAAGAAAAATTGTATATATAGGGTTCTGTACTATCTGAACTTTTAGGGATCCTCTAGGAGTCTTGTAATGTATCCCTTTGAATAAAGCAGGACTACTATATATTTGGTCTTTGTCGGTAGTTCCTGGATCACAGTTCCCCAAACCCTGTGGAATTTCCTAAGTGTTGAGAATGACAAAGGTGTCTTATGTCATGTTAATGAGATGACTCTGGAAAGCACCTAAGGCTGGGGGGTGCTTTCCAGGAGAACCAACCATATGATCCAGTTGGGGCTCTCAAGGTGACTCCCCGACCTCTGGGGAGGGGAGAAGCGCTGGAGGTTAAATTCATCTTCGAGGCCAATGATTTGATCAACCAGGCCTATATAATGAAACCTTCAGAAAAACCACGAGGACAGGGTTTGGAGAGCTCTGGGTGGATGAACGCATGGAAGCAATGGAAGAATGGTGTCTTGGATAGAGCCTGCAGCTCTTTCCCCATGCCTTGTCCTGTGCGGCTCTTCTGCCTGGTTGTTCCTGAGTTATATCTTTTTATGATAAACAGGAAATCTAGTAAGTAAAATGTTTCTCCGAGTTCTGTGAGCTGCTCTAGCAAATTAATCCAACCTATGGGAGTGAGACTTGGAAACCTCTAATTTCAGTGGGTCTATCAGAAGTACAGATAACAACCTGAGCTTGCAACTGGCATCTGAAGTTGCGGGGGGCGGGGGGATGAGCAGGGGCGGGCAATCTTTTAGGACTGAACTCCTAACTTATGGAATCTAATGCTGTCTCTGGCTTAATGGTGTCAGAGGACACCGATGGTGTCCAAGAATTGTTTGTTGGTATGAAGGGGATTCCCTTCACACACATTGGAATTGAGTCCAAGAACCCCCAAAAGACACTCAGACATAGCAACTTAATAAACAGAATTATCTGATTGTTACTGACATTATGTTATAAATAGGTGTTCTCTCTTAAGAAGATGACTTATTAAAGAAAAAGATGATTCATTTTATTACATCATTATCCAGCTATGCATTCAAATCGGTATTGCCTTTAATGATTCTATAAGGTTCTCTTTTTGCATTTAAAAAAAATAGATTTCATATTTTAGAATAATTTTAGTTTTATAAGAAAATTGGGAAGATAAAGGCACCTGAGTGGCTCAGTTGGTTAAATGTCCGGCTTCGGCTCAGGTCATGATCTCACAGTTCATGGGTTCCAGCCCCGAGTTGGGCTCTGTGCTGACAGCTCAGAGCCTGGAGCCTGTTTCAGATTCTGTATCTCCCTCTCTCTCTGACCCTCCCCTGCTCATGCTGTCTCTCTCTCTCTCTCTCTCTCAGAAATAAATAAAACATTAAAAAAATTAAAAAAAAGAAATTGGGAAGATAGTACAGGGAGTACCCATATGCCCCACACTCGGATTCCCATCTTAACATCTTACATTAATATAGTATTATCTGTTACAATTAATGAACTAATATTGATGCATTATTATTAAACTACATGATTTATTTAAATTTCCTTAGTTTTTATCTTACATCCTTTTTCTGTTCCAGAATCTCATAGAGGATACCACATTGCATTTAGTTGTCATGTTTCCATAGGCAGTTCTTGGCTATGACAAGCTCAGCTCTCCTTGTTTTTGAACATTTTGGTAGTTTTTAGGAATACTGGTCAGGTATTTTATAGAAAACCATCTGTTGGATTTGTGTGATGTTTTTCTTGTGATTAGATTGGAGTTGTGGGTTTTTGGAAGGAAGGTCACAGAGATAAAATGCCATTTTTAAAATCATATTATATCAAAGGTCCATACTCTGAACATGGTTTATCACTATTGATACTGACCTTGATCACCTGGCTGAAGTAATGTAGGTTAGGTTTCTCCACTGTAATTTTGGTGCTAGGTGTGATTTTCATTACTGGTGTATTATTACTTTTAGGTCTTCTCTGCCTGCCAATGGAGTAAGGAAAGGTGTGTGTGTGTGTGTGTGTGTGTGTGTGTGTGTGTGTGTGTGTGTTTATATTACATATTGTGTATATTTATAGCATCTGTAACTATTTCTCAGTGTAGCCATTGTGTGTCTGTATTAAGCCAAACATGAGTGCAGGCTGGTATCTCCAATTTTTTTTTTTTTTTAGTTTATTTATTTTGAGAGAGAGAGAGAGAGAGAGCGAGCAAGTGGGGGAGAGGTAGAGAGAGGAGGAAGAGAATTCCAAGCAAGCTCTCTGCTGTTAGCAGCAGAGCCTGACTAGGGGCTTGAACTTACGAATGGTGAGATCATGACCTGAGCCGAGATCAAGATTTGGACGCTTAACTGACTGAGCCCAGGTGCCTCTGGTATCTCCAATTCTAACCAGTTACTAAACAGATCATACTAGCCTTTTCCTCTTGCTTCTCTGTAACTTACCACACCAGCAATGAGAAATCTGGTTCCCAGTCAAACAAACTAAAAAATATATATACCTTAAACCACAATTTTCTAAAGAGCATCTTGTCATTTACAGACATTTGGTGTGAAGAAATATAAAAAATGTAAAGCACATTTTATTATAAATTTTTATGAGTCAAGAGAAATAACTAGAATTATATTGCTGATTATTTTTTTCAAAACTGTTGAGATGGGGCACCTGGGTGGCTCATTCACTTGGGTGTTTGACTTTGGCTGAGGTCATGATCTCATGGTTCATGAGTTTGAGCCCCACCTTGGGCTCTGTGCTGACAGTGCAGAGCCTGGAACCTGCTTCAGGCTCTGTGTCTCCCTATCTCTCTGCTCCTCCTCCATGTGTACTCTGTTTCATTCTCTCTCCCTCAAAAACTAATAAACATTTTTTTTTTAAAAAAAGGAAACCGGAGAGATAAATGTTTAAGGTTAGATATGTATTTTCTCTAGTTTAGCTTTTCTAACTCTGTTCCCCTTCTCCCTCCAACCGCCAAAGAACTGAGGTTTAAACGGAACTTAAAACTGTGAGTTGTAAAATTGATCTAAGTCAGGATTTCTAACTTATTTGACCATCAGACACAACAGGAGGTGTAATTTCTTGGCAGAGCACAAGCAAGGTGTGCTTGTGCTCTGGAGTGAAGTGGACAGCGACGGGCACCATTGTCTCCAGTGACACCCGTACTGCCGTATGCAACAGGCAGCTTCTTTGATTTCGTCCTCCCTGGTTTCTCCTCAGCGACTGATCAGATGAGCACTCCTCACCTCTGGAAAGCTTTTCCTGTGTGTGCTTCGGGTCCTTGCGTTGTCTTGTTGTCCTTCTGTCTTCCTGCCTCTCCTTCAGAGGAGCATCTGGAGGCCCTTAAGGTTCCATCCCGGGCTGCTTTCTCTTTTGTGGTTGTCCTCTCTCTCTTACTTTTTTTACAAACATTTTTTTTAACTTTATTTATTTATTTTGAGAGAGAGTTAAAGAGAGAGAGAAGGAGCGAGCAGGGGAGAGGCAGAGAAAGGGAGAGAGAATCCCAAGCAGCCTCTGCACCATCAGTGCAGAGCCCAACGTGGGACTCAAACTCCTGAGTCATGAGATCATGACCTGTGCTACAATCAAGAGTGGGGACGCTTAACTGATGGAGCCACCCAGGCGCCTCTCTGGTTGTCCTCTCTCTACATGACGTTTTCATTCCCAATTTTTAAGCTCTACATGCTCGTAGACTTATATACAGTCTATAGACTTGACCTCTCTCTTGATCTTATCCTCTATATTTCTTAAAGCTTTAGATACTGAATTATTCTGAAAAGTAAAGAGGCCTTATTGCCAAGGGAAGGGGCAAGTCTTAAACTCTGTTTTCTTGCAGTGGCCTTTCAAGTGAATTCTTAGGCCTCAATTAACTTAGATATTTCCTCCAGGAAATATCTATGCAATTCTAAGTTTTTGTCAGGAAGTTATTTCTACTTATCATTGTTTTTCAACTTCCTTTTTGGGCTATGAATTAGCTTATAAACATGCTGAAAGGAATCATCTGCATTATGCTTCTGGCCAAAAATATTTGTTTTGGCCACTTACAGGAACTCTGTCAACTGGTTTCAGAAATATTGGTTACTTTGGGTCCTGGACAGGTGGCCTTTTCACTGCCTATTAGTTCATGGCATTCATGAAGACACTTCTACTAGCACAGTGTCTTCAACCTTAGCTACACACTGTGATTATACAGGAAGCTTTTCATTTTATTTATTTTTAACAATTTTTTAAAGTTTTTTTTTGTAATCTCTATATCCAACGTGGGGCTCAAACTTACAACCCCAAGATCAAGAGTTGCATGCTCT